ACAACAACAACAACAACAATAATAACTATTTGTACAGCACCTTTCTAAACAAATGTTACAAAGTGCTTTACATTGAAAAATAAGTTAAAACATCAAAGAAAACATGAAACAAAATATACCAAATCAATTACAATAAAACCAAAAACTAACAAAAAACATTATCAAATATTAAAAACCTTATTAAAAAGGTAAGTCTTAAGTAAAGATTTAAAAGAAAACAATGAGGTAGCCTGTCTAATTTTTAATGGAATTGCATTCCACAAAAGGCCATGGAAATTATAATTTTGTTTGTTTGTTTTACTGGTGCATTGTTCCCCATATGTATTTATGCCTTTTTTTAAACCAAAAAATTAAATTAAAGGTTTATTGTAATTTTTTTGAGGACCCCTAAAATACAACTCGCGGACCCCAGTTTGAGAACCTCTGCATTAACTAATCCATCTCTTTAAGTGCACTCTGTTCAAGATAAACCGTGACAGGATAATTTTGGACAGAATCACATTGTAACCATAACACAAAGAATGGTAATGCCCAACTCAGATCATCAGATCATGAGGTGAAATGTTGATTTTTTTTTACTTTAGGATTGTGCAGCCAGGTCTCAGGTGTGCTTGAGGTTGTCAAACTTTATTTTACTGTTAAACCAGGGAAATCCCACTGAGATCATAGATCTCTTTTGCAAAGGAGGCCTGGGCCTGAAGGCAACCCATTGTACATGTTTTTGTGTTTGTGTTGTGGAAACCGGAGTACCCAGAGAAAACCCACGCAAACATGAGGAGAACATGCAAACATCTCACGGGTCCGAACCACTGAGCCACCGTGCTGCCAAACGTCCTATAAACGTGAGCGTCTGTTTGCTTTGCAGAATGGTTTTGCTGTAGTTCGACCACCCGGACACCACGCTGAGGAGGGTACACCCATGTGAGTCATGTGCATATTTGACCAACAAAAAAAAAAAAGAAAAGAAAAACTACCAGGACAGTTCTGTTGAGGAATATAATGCATTCATTCATGCAACTGTGTTCTTGTCATTTAGGGGCTTCTGTTATTTTAACTCAATCGCCATTGCAGCCAAACTCCTGCAGCAAAGGCTTAACGTCAGCAAAATCCTCATAGTGGACTGGGTGAGTTTAATTATTGCATTTTCTCGTATATGTCTAATTCTTCTGATCTAGTAGGTGCAGTCGAACCAGTTTTTTCAACACTTCAATGACATAAGTTAATAAAGCCATGAAGGTATAAAAATTATTATTATGAACACAGCAATCAAAAGTGACTTTTAAGCRTCTTCCTCAAATATAAGAAGGCCTGATGAAGACCTCCTGGTGTCCCGGAGCCATGCTTCTTGGCCGGTCACGGTCATTCCCGAAATCCTTTGAAGGACCGTTTCATTTCCTCTCTCCATGTCGCAGACGGAGCTCAGGCTCRTTCTCGTGCCGCCTGCCTGCAGCTAACAGGGACGTTTTTTTTTTTTAGGAGCGGGGTATAAAAGCATTCTTTGAATACAGAAAAGTGAGGTCATTTAATTGATGTCATGTTGTTGGCAGGAGAAAGCAGCTATTAAAGCTGAGTGCTTTTATAGAATCCTGCTGATGGTTSTTTTTCGACATCACGACAGGCTGCAGCTGAGATGTAGATTAACTGTCTCTCTCTGTCATGAAGTTTGTCTAAGAGCAGGTGTAGAGATTAATAGTCCTTCAGTTCTGCGAGTTATTTTATGTGCTACTGGTGGCGAGGTAGTTTCTATTTAAAGTTGTGTTTGTTGCTTGTTACACGAGTCATTCTCTCCAAGCTATTTATAAATGCTCATTTTGGAATGAAATTTATTGCTTTAACCCGTCGGTTCTGAATATTTCCAGGACATCCATCATGGAAATGGCACTCAGCAGGCTTTCTACACGGACCCCAGTGTTCTCTATCTGTCTCTGCATCGCTATGATGACGGGAACTTCTTCCCAGGCAGCGGTGCACCTGATGAGGTGGGTTTTCTTTCAGCTCACTGGTTTCTCTACAGTTCTGCTTATCCACTGTTTTCCTGAATTCGCACCACTACCCATAATTCRTAGCGRCAGTTGGTTTTATCCTCCACTTGCGCTGTTGTTTACAATTATGAGGATATACCATCGCTGTTTATCAAAGTATTTTTCACTGAAGTTTCTTTTACCTGGAGTAAATGGCWGCACATCGGAGGTGTATGTACTGTAAGGATGTTTTAAGGACAATTCTTTAACAGTGGCTCAGCCGTCACTGCTCACAGACTGATAACATGAAGCTATGTCCCGATGTTAGCTACTACTGACATCAACTACCTCGCCTTTCCTGAAGACRCACACACATGCAAAATCATAAATGTTAATAGTTCTTGAAGTAAAATGTTCCTAAAACCCCCAGAATTGTAATCCTAAACATAAAATTCACTGGGTGCTAGTTTGCTTGTAATCTTTAGAGTTGAGTTGGAGGGTTTCATACAGCTGCAGTCACTTTAAATAAATGATAAGTAAAAATAAACTGCCTCTAATAACTCCATTATCATATTCTTGATTTAAAACAAACCAGAGACTTTTAAAGCCCCTGGGGGCTAATCTCCTCGTCTTTTATTCCTGCCATATAGACAAAATATTTTAGATGAAGAGGATTGGTTAATATTCCCAGCTAACTCAAAATTAAGACAGTTAAATTGTCATTTATAAAGTTTTGCCAGCATGCAGCTACAAACATGGGCTTAATATGTCTCTAAAACTGAGACGTAACTGCTAATAACACGCTAACACTACAGCGAGCTAATGCTAACACCACTTTAACTCAGTAAAAGCAAAGAACTGCATGATTAAATAGTGAAACGGGGACAAATCAGGTACAGATTCAGGGTTTTAGTTGATATTGCTGGAAGCTGTCTGAGTCAGTGGTCCAGACGAGCCGACTGTTTGGAGGCCAGTCTTAGTCCAGATAGAGCTCTGGGTCGGGGTGAATATCTGTGGGCTTTTGTTGATAAAATGAAAAGGGGAAAAAAACCTGTCTTCTGTGGGTTTTGAGTTTTAAAGCTGCCAGCTACGTTAGTTTACGATCCTCCTTCGTTGGTATAAAGTGCAGTGTGTAGGGTGCTGAGCATGGATACCTTTCCTACTTCTTCTTGTTCCAGGCAAAACTTTTCTAAATTGTTTCTCTGTTTTCTTCAGTTGTTGCCGCTGACTAAAACACAATTTGAACCCGAACTTGTGATCGAGCCAGTTAAAGCAAAAAACAAACTGGTTTTGTTGTTATCATGAGCAATGAGTGACTCTGAATGAATGAATCTCTGGTTCTTGCTTTGCGTACCGGGAAAATGAAACTGGGGGGCGGAAGTAGCGGTCTGCCATGGCGGCCTACAGAAAGCTGTGGATAAAGCAACATGTTTTTGTGTTCCAGGTGGGCAGTGATGCAGGTGAGGGCTTCAACGTGAACATGGCTTTTACCGGAGGACTTGAACCCCCCATGGTTGATGCAGACTACCTTGCTGCATTCAGGTAAATCAAAGAACCTGCGGACTTAAAGAGAGTGAAAAATTGTTGTATTTCATTTCTGCTCTGTCTCCGAGGACACGGTTTTCAAAAGGTCCCAAGCAGTGAAAATTTAGTGTTTTTTTTTTAATCCTGGTATAACAAATGATCTGCTGGGAGCAGCTCGAAAGGTAGGGTGCTGGTTCCAATGCCAGGCCTGATGTCTGTTTGATCTTTTCACCGCTGCCATATATAAAACCTTTCACACTCAACGTCTCAGTGCAGACGGCTGCTTGTCACTCGCACAGTTCTGGATCATCTTGAAAGCAGCGGGCCCAGATTTGTTCCAGTGCTCTTTGAAGACGAGTCTGTGTTTTGAACTGTACGTCCATCTGGCCTGAACCCGACACATCAAACCGACCGGCCACCGTCTGATCGCAGCCTCTCTGCACGCAACCTCCGGGAAGCGTACGTCGGCCCGTTAATGCACATCAGAACCCCGTTTGCTTTTAGCCTCCTTCTGCTATTTATGCTCTTCTTTTCCTCTCTTCATCCTCCGCTTTCTACATGTGAACTGTCAACAGGCAATATTTTCTATACTTTATACTACACACATTTTTATAGCCTCCAACCGAAGCCAAAGTTACAGAAAAAAACTCACAAACAGTGGCGTCACTAGGCCTATTTTAGCGGGGCTGGAGCCCCCCTAAAA